AAAAAAAAAAAAAAGAGTTTCATAGTCATAAAGGTTTGAAAACCTTGAGTTTTCTTTGGAGTTCAGTTAATAAAACATGAAAAAAGAGAAGACGCTAAAAAAAAACTGACAGTTGCCAATTTCACATTTAAAAAGACCAGATCTCCAGCTGAATGCTGTGTTGTTGGTGTCTCAACAGTGAGAAGTGATCAGCTGAGAACAGCTAGTGGATTTGTGCTCCCTGTCAGTTCAGTTTCTCACTGCTTGTTACATGTGGACGTCTCTTTTAGCATCTTGGCCACATGTGTCTTACAGATTTTTCAGGATTTTAGATTTTGAGCTCTGGCTTTTTGCGTTTATCAGTAAAGTTTGTAAAGTTTATTTTTTATGTAGCCTCAGTATTATGGATGGGCAGGAAAGCTGAACCCATCCAAACATGGGATTGCATCGTTGGGAAGGTTTTTGACCTTTGCATTACCTGTAATAATAAGGTGCAATAATAATTAATGTGCAATAATAACAGTGTGCAATACAAATACACTTATTCTTCTTTTTTATACTAAGTTAATATACTGTGTTGTGTTGTTTGTTGCATTGTGATGTGTCATATCGTGTCGTGTTGTGTTATATGTAGTGCCGACGTAGGACAGTTTTCCAATTTCCTTGTACTACTGTACTATGTATGACTGTGCAATGACAATAAAGAGTTATCTTATCTTATCTATCTTATCTTAATTGAGTACCTCAAATATATTGATCTGGGATCTTCACTGAGGTGCAAATATTAGTATGATCAAACATCAAGTTGAAGATATATCCTAAGGCAGATATGAAGGCTTAATTCAGCAACTCAGGGGTCTGATATAACAACAACAACAATAATAATAATAATAATGTCACCAAACATCTCCTCATGCATTCATCTACTGGGAATGACAAATGACACAACTGCACCCTGTCACTACTGCAAACCTTAATCCCTGCTTCCATGAGTGAGAGGTGGCACGCATCTCTCACACCACCTCCATTACACTGCATTACCTGCAGAAGATAAGGGGCCAAAGTATGCTGCTTCTTTGGAGGTTCCATTTGCAGATGAAACAGGAGGGTAGTTTCTTGCTATCAGGTTGGTGTTTAGCTGTGTTTTTGTGCATGAAGGTGAACAGTGCTCTCCACATCTTCACCAGTGGCCGCAATATTAACATGAGTAGTCCTGAGAGACAATAAACTACTGCGTATGATTGCTAATAACAAACTATTTGCTTGGGAAATTGTTCTCTCTGATCTCTGGAAATTGTCTAGTGGAACTATCACATTGTCAAAGTTCCTTTAATTTCAATTCAGTTCATTTTTATTTCAAACATTTCAAACATGTGCCTTCACAATCATTCCAAAATATTATTCCATTATTTGTTTGAAAAGGAGTAGGCTGAAGTATTTACTTATTTGTCCCTACCCCCTCAAGTTTTACCTCTCATTCATTTAATTTTTTTTGTCTTAAATTAAACAAACAACATATGAAACATATGAAGTAAAGTAAAACAAAACAAAACATACATAAATCAAAAACAAGAAATTAGCAAGCCCCACCACAGTATAGTTTCTTTCATATGAAAAATACAGAATGTGTATATTTGCAGATACACAAGTTATGGAAAAACAAACAAACAAACAATTTGACTTTTTTTCTGCAATGATCTTTAAACAGCTGGTCCAGATAACATGCAGAATTCAAGGCCTGCATTGAACACTGAGGTCATTTCCGCTTCTCATATAACATCCGCTGTCTTGTATAATCAGTCATTTGAACGATATGTTCACATTGGTGGTGTAGCCTACAAACCGTGTTATTAATATTATTATTCATTGAACATTTGGTCAGTTAAAGAGATGCATTGTATTTTTAAGTAGCAATAACAAAAAGAAAAGAATGTCTTTCTTACAACTTATTTTCCCAATATTCACATTTTTCCACATTTTATTTTTTGCTTTCAGCATGAAATTGGGAGAAAAAGTAAAAACCACTCAAGGAAGCACAGCTAATATTGATGAGTGTATTTTTTATTCTTATTATGACAAAGAAGTGACACATGGAGTGGGTATATTACTGGTGTCATTGTAGCCTTTGTTCAAAGTCCAAACATCAGTGCCTAACCTGCATAAACCAAGTGTATCTGTGCTTTCAACGACCAGACCTGTTGTTAGTACACATGAGAACATTACTTGTTAAAACATGAGGTACAGACCCAAAGTGTGCACACTGGGTTGTTACTTGCCTCATTGGAGATGAAGAGAGTGAGCTGCTCTGTCTGGAGCTGCTCTGAGGACTTGCCATCCTGCCTGAGGCCATCTTACTTCAGCTCAGCACCTGAAATACAGCATGTGCACTGTAAACACCAAGTGATGAATGAATACGAATTTGGACGTCTGCCTTTATCAATATGTCCCGTGTTGGGGAGTAACGGAATACATGTTCTCCCGTTATGTATTTAAAATACGAAATATGAGTAACTATATTCTGTTACAGTTACTGTTTAAAAAGGTGGCAATTAGAATAGAGTTTGTTGAAATAAATGGATACACAGCGGTCTTTTCCTGTTTCATATGTTAGGCTATCCCCTCTCTAATTTAATTACACGCATTGCCGGAACCCAAAAAAAAAACATGCAATAAGAGGCTCTAATGTAAGTATCCTATTAATGTTGGTGGCATCACTTACACAACGGACCCGAGGCCAGCACAGCAGAGACAGCAGTACACGGGCAGGAATGCATTTTTTACTTGGAAATTCCGACACCACTTCACATTTAAAGAAGAAAGGGAGAAATCTGACCGTGCAAAGCAAACTCTGCCAGCAAAACAGACTCCAAAAGACTTGGACCTAAAGAAATATCTGGAAGTAAGTTCTTTTTTAAAAACTAACGTTAGCCTACTGCAACTACCTTGTTTTACTTGTGGTAGCTACCTGGGATATGTGCCACTTTAGTATCTTTGATGTACTATTGCTATGTGATTTATGACTATCAATGAAGGCTACTTGCCACCAAGCTAGCATTGCTAGCTGGCCTTAGCTGAGGTTATTTCATAGACTGCAGACTGTTAGGCTTGATAGCATTAATGACCTGCTAGCTGCAAATGATCATGTGCAGTTCTGAAAGCAGTCTATGAACTAACCTCAGCTAACGCCAGTTTAGCAATGTTAGCTCGGTGGCGAGTAGCCTTCAGTAATAGTAACAATTCTCACAGCAATAGTACATTCATGCAGTTGTAAAAAGCATTACGATATATTAAGTTATCCAAAGTAATCAGAATATGTTACTCACATTGAGTAACTTAACGGAATACGCTACAAACTACATTTTGGGGCATTTATTCTGTAATCTGTAGTGACATACATTTTAAAAGTAACCTTCCCAATACTGAATATGTCACCATCAAATTGAATATCAAGTTTAATCAAATGTAGCACTGGAAATGGAAACTTTGCACCACTACACAACATCTTTCAACACACACACTGTAAATATGCTATCACATGATGACACACACGTTACATCCCCCTAGCTGTACTGCTGACCACCGCACTGTCATCCACTACAGTAGCTCCTTATTGATCTACCTCTAAGCTTTCTATTCTTGTCCCCCTCTCCAAGTAATTCAATTATCAATAAACCTCACTGTTTTAAATAGCTTCAAGCTGATGGTGTGCCATGGAATAATATTTCTTATCTTCTAATCTGTTGGCTGGCTGCCAGCCAGTGACTGTCTTCCCTTCTTTGAGCCCGAGCAAGAGGGCTTAAGTGCCCGGAACTTTATTCTGCTGTTTTATTGATGTATCCCATTTAGATTAGTCCATTTTCAATCGGGAGAAGCCACAGATGCCCTCCCGCCTGAACCACACTAATCCTTTTAGTTAATGATATCCTGCAGTTGTGTGGTTACAAATTTCGTGTTTACTGCGGAGATATAATTAGCAGGTAGTTACAATGTGAGACGAGCTCTCTCACGCACACAAATACACAACTACCCCGTGTTGTGGAGCAGATTTCAACTGTTTTGCTCTGCCTTTTATTAATTGCTTACAGAGAGCGACGGGATCGATAGACATAAGCTTACAATAAAGTAATTGAGGCTAGAGGGATGTACGATGCGCGTGAAGCGTCGCTTATTGAATCCCACGTCAACCTGCTTCATGAGGGCCGCACTGCCACAATTACAGAATATCTGCTGCTTTTAGTCAGGTTTGAAGATCGAGCGGCTGCACATTAACGGGGTCACCAACTCTGTTTGACTGTTTGCTTCAGTTGCTTCGAAAACTGAGAAATATTTGATTACCGTTGAGTACTTTTTCTTTTTTGGGTGTCAGTAACCTAGTCAGATAAAGAGACGGATGAATGGGTGGAGGGATAGACTTGTAATACAGACACAAAGCAAAAGTAGAGGAAAAAAACCCGCACAAAGAGTAAGATGCAGGAGAGGGGGGGGGGAAAGTGGTAGGAGGGTTGGGGTGGGGAGTATTTTAACTGCAGTCTTGGCATGGCTTCTCTAGGCCCATTTTCAGAGAAAGCATCACAGTGAATCAGAAATTATACCAATACTGTGCCAGGACCATGGAAATCTACTGACAGTAAGCACCCTGTGCTGGGGAAAAGCCCACATCTATTACACTTGGTGCAGTGAGTCATGAAAGTAGAATATCATAGAATGAGTGCTGATATAATTGAACCGTTGGACTATTACAATAGAGGTGCAGATGAATTTTATTGACCCAATAATTGAGCACAGGGTCATAGCCATTAAGTCACAGTTCCAGCAAATTCCATTACATGTGCTTGCGGCTTGTTACAGTGCTCTTCAGTGGATTACCCTACAAATGGAGATGAGTTGTCCAATCAAGCAATTGTCCTGAGCAATTGGAGTGTGCCGCTAAGTGCTGTGTTAAGGACCATTGCACTGAAAGTGATTGCTGTCTGCTGTGAGTGCCCACTGGCTGTTTTTAGACAATCTCCCTTTCAGCCTTGTGGACTGATGTCATTTTGTTATTAGCATTTCCCTGTTAATTTACATAATCTTGTAATAAACGCTAGAAATTTACAGTGAGGTGAAAAAAAACCCATTGGCTCCTTTGTTTTTGCTTATTTGTCAGAGTTCACAGTCATCATCAAACACATTTGAATGATAGACAAAGATAACCTGAATAGATATAATATGCAGTTTTTAAATGATGATTTCATGATTAATTGTTTTTTGTGTTTGTCTGAGCTATTCAGCGGTGAAGTTGCTGTGTGTTTTGGATTACAAAGCAAAGCAGTTCCCGACCATCACACCTCCACCACCATGTTTGACCGTTGGTATGATGTTGTTTTGATGAAATGCTGTGTTAATTTTACAGGACTCAGACATTTCAAAAGGTGGACTGAGAGCGATAAGATATGGACTAATCTAAATGGGATCGATAAAACTTTCCGTGCACTGTCTAGTTTTGGTGATCATCAAGCCTCTGTGTTCTTTGTTGTCAGCAGTGGTTTTTACTTTGGAACTCTCTCATGGATGCCATTTTGGTCCAGTCTCTTTTTCATTTTTCATTTTATGAACACCGACTATAACTGAGGTAAGTTAGACCTGTTCTTTAGATTTTGTCCTGGGTTCTTTTATGAACTCCTGGATGTCTCTCCAGGTTTTCTCCATTTGTGGATAATGGCTCTCACTGTGGTTCACTAGAGCTATAAAATGGCTTTTCTGGACTGACAGATGTTGGTGACTTTGTTTCTTATTTGTTCTTGAGTGTAAATCAGAGCATGATGTGTTGCTTTTTCAGATCTTTTAACCTACTTCACTTTGTCAAACACGCTCTCTTTAGGCAATTTCTTTATTGAACAGGTCTGGCTGTAATCAGGCCTGGTTGTAGCTAATAAAATTGAACTCGGGTTTCCCACAAATGTGTTTAATCACAATTAATTCATGATTTTACAAAGGGAATAATTACTTTTTCACATAGCGGCAGGTCAGGTTGCATAGTCGTTTCCTCTTAATAAATATAAAAATGATTATTTAAAAACTGCATTTTGTATTTACACCAAATTTATCTTTGTTAAATGTCTTTTTTGAAAATAAAATAAATAAGATTTATATCTCTGTGCTGCATTGTGCACAGATGCTGCAAGTGCTACAGAAACTTGAGTTCTGTGAGCAGATGGTCAGGTTTGACTGTATCCTGGCTAATTTTTTCTTGCTAGGGTGGACATTTCTTTTCATGTCTGAGCTGAAACCTGAGTGGCCCAACAGGTTTCCCCATTCAGCTGCAGTTTTAGGTAAGCCACACAAAGGACAGGTCTGTCTCAGCCTCATGTCACATGCCGGGTAAAATAACAACCACTTAGTGACTTGTGCGTGTCAGAGAATTCACTAGGGTGTGCCTTTCAGATTTACTGCAGCATTCGTATTTATTCTTTGCATGTGTGGGAATTTAGAGGACTTTTAAATGTGGTTTGTGCTTGTGTGCATGTTTCTGTCACTTGCAGTTTTCCAGTCCTGTATCTGTTTCAAGTTAATGTCATGCCAAACCTGTACTAGCGAGAGCAATCTTGATTCTTTGTTACTGGCACACTGGAGCCGTTATAAATTCTGTTTGTGAATATAAAACCAGTTAAAAGGGACAAAAGTAATTTTCCAAAGTGTAAAGACTTGCAACCTGAGTTTCAAAGTCAGTACTGGTTCCTCCCATTTGTCTAGACCAATGTAATGTAATTGTTTGATAGTTGCTGACCTAGGTAGGAAGAACAAAACCCCCCCTATCAACCATGCCTTTTTCTTTCGTAGCCCCTGTGCTATTTCAGTTTGTGTGCAGGAAAATGGTGAGCACGTAAAACCTTTGAGGAGTGGGGATACAGACGTCAGTTTTACTTTTAAAAGGATAAGAGCGTGATGGTAAAGCGCAAACTTGACCCAGGACAGAAAATAAAACTGAAGCTCTTTGCACAAACACACAACGCTAGCAAAGAATCCAAGGTGGTGTTAGAGCTGAGGGTTTGCTGACACCAGACCAGTCAGAGCAGTGTTAATTTCTACAACCAATAATCTCCCAGACTACTTTTTATTTGGATGAAAGCAAAATGATAACTAAATGAAAAAAAGATAAATGATAACTACATGGACAAAGAAATGTACCGACACTAAAAATGGGGGAAAAAAAATAAATTTATTAGTTCTGATTGATCCAGTCAAAGCTAATCGCCTTGTGGAGCAGTACAACTAGCTCCTACCCTCATTTCTCATGGATACTCGATAAAATGCCAACGCTTAGGAGGAAGAGAAGAGTAGCCATACAAAGCGCTTTAATTTCCTGACATCACATTTACCATATGATGTCAGGAAATTAAAGCGCTTTGTAAACCGTTATATGTACTTGTTTCTAAAGCCAAGTCATTGTGGTGATCACGTTCATGTCTCTTTGGGTTGGTTGTCAACTTGACTGTGTGTTGTCAGTTTTGTGTTCATACGTGAACGTTAAAAGAAATATCATCCGTGTGATCATGTTACTGACTGACGTGAAAGTAATGTAACGTATTGCATTACTTTTAAGAACAGCAATGCTGCATAGTTTATTTTTTAAAACTACAGCTACGAACATGTTTTTTGACTCAGATGAACTCAGCATATGTGCAGAGTAATATATCACTGTATACCAACTTCTCCCTGTGTGCTCTCTATAACTTCTACATCACTGACTAAAAATACGTTTCCAGTCTTTCTAGAATATACTGTGGTAAAGCAGAATGCCTGTTGCCAGATTCTTGGCAAAACCACTAAATGAATACAAAAACTGCTCTGCAGAAAACAAAATACCACAGCACTGCGGTTTAGCTTCGGTGTTGTGCCAACAACAATGAATTTCTGTTCGACGCAAATACAAGAAACTGAACTCTGAGGAGAAACAGAAGAAACGAGCAAAGCCACTCACCATCTTGAGAGGCCAAGATCAGCTTGACTCAATGTGATTGTGTTCAGGACAAACTGAGTCATGCTGCGTAATCCAAATTTAATGTCCATGATGTTTCAGGGATCTGTCATTGTGCAGCCCGTTCCTTATGGCTTGGCTTTGTTTTGAAATTGCCAGTGATTAAACACTCTGGCTTCTTCTCCCACTGCTCTCTGAAACTCACAGACTGAAGAAAGCATATAATATGTGAGTTTCTTTTGGACGCTGGTCTTTAAATACAGTGGACATGCTCTGTATCAGCAAGTCAGCCATGCCGTCCTGCTCACGTCCTATCATTGAGCTGAAGACTGGGTTCACAGGAGGAGACAGCGGTTACAGTCTCACCACAGAGCTGTCATGTGGAGAAGAAAACTGAGCAGGATGGGTACTGTATGAGTGGCTGGGTGGGAACAAACTGGAAGCTGGCTGTGCTCAGCCATGGGCCCAGCATTCCTATCCCACACACACTGGGCAGGCTTAAAGTGGACCTTGTTTTTAGACAGAGAGAAATCCATAAAGGGTGACGGAGAAGGTCTGATGCAAACTAAGCATTTGGTGAGTTAGCAAGTGTAATGCAAAGTTTAACTACATTAGACTATTTTGTTATTAATAATTTAATATTTACTAATGTATATATGTATATTGTTGTATTTTCTTTTTCTTTTTACACATATTTTAAATCTTACAGTAAGATTTAAGTTTCATTAAGAAACCCCCCGCCTCATTATCCATGTAGTGATTCAAGGTTCAAGGTTCTTTATTTGTCACATGCATAGTTATACAAGTATAACACACAGTGAAATGTAGCCTGACACGCTCCTCGACATGTGCAAAAATTGGGGGGGGGGAGAGGAAGAACATTATATATATATATAGTATATACATTGGGTGAATGTGCAGTAGTGGCAGCAAGCAGGTGAATTCTGTACATTAATATGAATAGACATCTGACTATTTTACAGGATAGACAATATAAACATATTTAAAATTAAAGGAATTTGATAATGCCGTGCTCAAACTCAAACTTGAGCTAATCAGACAGAGATTTATGCCAGAATAATCTGGCTGCAGTTGACTTAAACTGATCCAAAAGAGTAGAGTAAAACTTTTTGGAACAATTATGGAGCTAGAGAACAGCAATAGCTTGTTTAACACAACTGGAACTGTATGTTTGTATACCGAAAATGGTGCCGATTGCTTCAGTCATGACTTCCTGTGCTGCTCTGTTCTGTGAAAATGATCTTTACAAACTGGAATCACAACAGTCACAAAACCAGAATTTCCTGCGTGATCTATTAAGTAATTTAAGCTTGTCTAAATAATTTGACAGGATTTCACAGCTCATAAATTGCAAATTATCCTCCAGTTTGTCCTCTTTGGGGTAAAGTATGTAAGAAAACTTGTATATTTGTTTTGCACAGCATTCTATAAATAATGATTATTAGTATTACTATTGTTTCTTTTACATGAAGCAGATTTTGAAACTGCATACTTTACTCTCCAGACACAACCCTCTTGTCCGCTATCTCAGTCTGAGTCTAAATGCAGGGCATTCCACAGATAACATTAGCATGACATAGCCGCCTATTTTTAATGTGGATTCTGTAAAAATCCACGTGTGAAGCATGTTCTTCTGGGACAGCGTGGGAAACCTTACTAATGCTGAAATTTTTCATGTCCAACTTAAAAATAAAAATACACCAAACTGTGCACATTACCAAATTTGCATTCAACATGTTAATGGCCAAAGTAATATTAGTTGAATTAACTTTTCCAGCTCTCTTGTGATAAAGGAAAGTTTGTTCTCATGGTCTCATGTTTATTAGTCTTTATATACTCCTATATTTTTATTTATGTCACTGTTATTTCTGCTGTTGCTCTGTCTGGTTAGATTTAAGTAGGAATACATTCAAAAATCATCTTTTTGAGCCGTAACTGACAATTAACTAACTGAAAAAAGGGCACATCTTGCACTTGCCAGTCAAAATGTGGAACAAGGGATAAAAATGCTGTTCATACAGAGGGACACCTGGTCACGCTATTCATAAGTGATCCATAAAGTCCAGCTTTGGTCTTTACCTTGAAGGATTTATTTTTGTGAAAGCCTGAGTGATTCTAGTGGTATGCTTACACTGAGCTTTGTGTGTGTGTGTTCCATCTCGTAGGGATTTGTTTATTTGGTTTGACTTGTTATGATGTGAGGTGTCATTTGAATTGCACCAAGAGAAGAAAAATTGACTTTATCTCTTTTCTAAAGTTAACTGGATGCCAGATTTTAAGATCTATTCATCGTACAAGCAACTTTAGAGCTTTTCTGTTTATGAGTACTTGATTTACTTATGTGGTTTTACCTTACCAAAATAAACTAGGGTTTCCACTGTCATTAATATCAAGTAGATAAAACTTTAATCCATCCCCTTTGATATCATCCCGCATCATTCACTACAAAGCTTCCACTGACACCTGAGAGTTGTTTAGCACAATGAGCATTAAAGCCATTCCTTGACAGTGCTAACTGCGGGTAAGAGATCTGAATGACCTTCTCAGCAAGCATTCTGGCCAAAAGCCCAACCTTGTTGCGACCATTCCTCCATTCAGCACTGTTCAAAGAAAAGCTCACAGCCAGAACCAAGAGGAATGTCTCTTCTGAAACATACAGAGATGGATGACAAACCAAAGTCCTACATTTACCACCATGGAAACATTTTGTGTTTAGAAGCCATAGCGTTTCGAAACTGCAAACACAGCAAGAGTGGTCACTTGGAGGCAACTTCCTAGCAATAATGTGGGAGTAATGTGTCATGAGATAAATCTGATATTAACAGATTTTTCTAATCATTTTGTTCTCGGCCAGCAATGAGAATATGTGTAACACTGTAACACTGCTAACTGCTGCAGATTAGCTATATGTTTACCAATTAGCTCCAGTCTCTGTTCTAACTTTGATTAGCTGCTAGTGTACAGAGGGATCTTAGAGCTTTTTTTCTGAAAAAGATTTGTATTGCTGTGCATAAAACATATAAACAACAAGCAGAAACTGTATACAGCTCTATGAACTCAAAGAGAGCTGCAGGTTTTTCTGATCTTTGACTTCACTGGAAAAGCAGCTGCACCATCTTTAGGCATTGTCGTCCCCGTACTCTGTCAATATGAAACGGCTTTACTGATTTCACCATCAGTCAAATCTCACGCAGAGGGAGGCACGTTTGAAAACTTCAGCAGCTACCGCATCTAACTCCATGACCCCCAACAACTGTGTTCTTGGCATGTAACAACACATGCAACACACAGCATCGGTGTGAGACGGCTAGCAGAGAAATTTGCCTTTAAAGACGCAAGACCCCATTCTGCAGCAGAGCTATTGTTGCTGTGCTAATGATAGAAAAACAATGTCAACATCCTGACATGTTTCAGGGGACGGTGACAGGGCTTCATGAGCATCACAAGTTTGAGTGTGACACACCGTGATGTCAGAAATAAATGTGTAGGAGGACAGAGTGGAAGCACCGTTCCACTTTCCATATATTTTTATAACAAAAAATGGCTATTCAGTGTGAAGAGTGAAGAGAGTTGAGAAAGTGGTGGGGATGGTGAAAAATGGGTGATAGGTTGTGGGCAATACAGGTGCTGCCACAGAGCTGTAAAAACACTTCTGCTACAACCCTCCTCACCAAAGAGAGTTTGTCTGCTTCAATACTTCTTTAATCAGACAAACTCAAATTATTCAGACGTGATGTACTGACACTGTTTTGAACTTGTATGTGATTTGCTTCATTAAATTTCACCAAAGTGAACATAACATATTTTGTCATAGTGGTTTCATCTTTGGACAGTGCAACAGCTTTTAGCATTAAGGTAATCAAGGTAATCAACTAATCACATGACTGTAGGAATAAACAAGCCGATGTACTAATACAACAAGAAGTCAATAGGAGTTATCTTTAAGGTTTCCAACAGTTAACTGGGTATGTTAAGCAGATTCTTTCTAAATGATATGTAAAGAAAAGATGGGAGAATTAGAAGCAATAGAAAGGTTACATAGCAGACATATAAACTGCAGTTCCACTACTGATAGTTACACACAATACAAGTATTAGAAAGTTGACACCAATTGGAAGGTGTTAGAGTGTCATTCAAGCCTTTGTACCTTAAAAATCCGTTGTGGAGCAGGAACGATTGGGATATCATTTAGCGTCTGTCACCAGCCTCTACAGACAAGATCAGTCTAGATTGTCACGGACCCGGCACTGGGGACTCGGGGTCCGTGGGCAGTGGGGACGATGACTGTTGTTGTTGTTGTTGTTGTTATTATTATTATTATTATTATTATTATTATTATTATTATTATTATTTGGTGTGTTGTCTGCACTGCCCCTGTGCACATCTGTATGTAGGCAGGTATGTGTGTGTGTATCGCCTTTCTGCTGTGGCCAAGTTACAGGCACCTTCAGCCCCGGGGGGCGTGGCCTAACTTGAGGGCTGGCCACACCCGAAGTCCTGGCCGCACACCTGCTCCTCATCTGGGCTCGTTGGGGGAGCTATTTAGATGAGCGATGGAGCTTCCACCGACGCTGGAGTATTGCGTTTGACTACACGTCAGTCTTCAAGCAAGTCAAGTCAAGTGTGAGTGTATGCCTGCCTGCTAGGATAAGTTGTAACGGCTGCCTCTATTGTCTTCCCCTCAGGAGGAGTGTGGGACGAGAAGGAGCAGTGAGCACGGGGAGTGCAGGGACACTGGGGCAGAGAGCACTACACGGGGACTTTTGGGAAGAAGACACTACACGGGAGCCTGGGAAACTGGGGATTTATTGTTGTTTACTTCACCACCTTGTAAATAAACACTGTTGCACTGAAGAGTCCGGCGTTTGGGTCCTATTTCCCCATCTCCCCACGGTCTGCCAGCCAGACCGTGACATAGATAGCATGTGATATTCTCCCTCAACGGCGTACCTTGACAGGAGAACCACAGTTTTGCTCCATTGTACTTCCGTCACTCATACTGTACCCAGACCCGGAAAAAAGAGTTTTCCTACTTTTTTAAGAAACTATCAGTTGAGCAAAAAACTTAAAGGATATTCAGAAAAGAAGTGGAAAAATCCTTTTGTATTATTTGCAGAGAACAGTGTGGCTCTTTCCCACTTAAACCTCAGTTACCATTAAAGCTACTGTTAGCAGTTGATATAGTAAAAACATTCGATAAAAAGTTCACTGGAAATTAGGTCAATTTTTTTGTCTAGTAAATCATAATTATCCTCAGGAGTGTCTGCATACATGAGTATGAGATATGAAAACTTCCTTCCCCAAGGACATACTTCTGACTGGAATAATGTGAAGATGCCCTTGTAAGGCCAAAAAAAGGAACAGTATGTTTGGGCCTGAGGTCATTCTTTCCTTTGGCATAATATTATGGAAGTTAAATTTGCTGCCCTCCTGATGTTTCTAGGCAACCGTGTGGCTTATGGAGAATTCAGATGGGGTCAAGTTGCACACGCACATTTGCA